TTTCGGTGTGACTAAAGCGTTCTTTAGAAAATATGGATGCAACTTCCATGGAATTGAAGAGGCACGTGGTCGCGATATCGCTTCCTAGCGTGAGAATCGATGTATCTCTCTTCTTGGTAATTCCAGGCTTCAAGAGACAATATATTGTTGCCAGAAATTAACCCTTTGAACCTAAGATTATATTTTTTGGCGTGCAATTTTTTTTTTGTAGAGTTTTAATTTGAATCTTGCAATTATTCGTAATACCAAAGTCATTTCACTTGGCATTAAATTGTCTTTTTGAGATAAATTATTATAATTTAAAGGTCACTGCTACCGATTTATAACAAACAGTTCTTTAAATAATTTATCATTATCATTGCTTTCAAAAAGTTTTACTCACCTATTAAAAAAATAAAATATTTTTAATCTTTTAAGGTATAATAATTACCTTTTTTTTATTATCTCTATTAATAAATGACTTTTTATTTACTATAAAGTGTTCGATAAGGATAAATGTAGAAAGATAGGATTAATTTAAAAGTAAATAATTATTTTATTAGGAGTTAATTAGTTTAAAAATATCTTATATTTTTAAATGAGGAGAGTATATGATATACGTGCATTTAATACATGAGTACATTTCAGCAAGAAGTTTTAGAGCTGGTTTGTTTTTTGTTTTTAAAAACTATTTTTTATTTTTTAAAATAGAAAAATTTTAAAATTTATTTGGATAAATGTTTTTCATTTAATTGTTTTTAAAAATATTTAAAAAAAACAGAGAAATAGATATAATTTTAAGTTGTTTTCATTTTTTGTTGTTTTTAAAACATAGTAAATTTGATTGCTAAAAATTATAGCTACTTTGACCAATTTTTATTATTAGTTATTACCATTAATTGTCGATAAAAATCACTGTCAACTTATTTTTTATTCTAAAATTATTTTTAATTGACACGACCACATAAATTTTCATTTTATTTTGTTGTTTTTAAAACATTGATTGCTAAAAATTATAACTACTTTAATCAATTTTTATTATTAGTTACTATCATTAATTGTCGATAACAATCACTATTAACTTATTTTTTATTCTAAATTTATTTTTAATTGACACGACCACATAAATTTTCATTTTTTTAAAAAAAATTGTATTATAGAATAGTTTTAAAAAAATTTAAAAAATGAGAACAAAAACAAAACAACATGTCCTTATTTTTTAATTTTCATCATCCCTTCCCTTGGGCGTAATAGTGCGGCCATTGTTCAAGGGACTTCTTTCCCTGCAAATTAAAGTCGAACATATAGATGGGAAAAAAGGACGACTTGATGCTTTAGTGTTTCGTGGTATAGCTTGTTCGCGTCATTTCATATTCAACTACCACAACAAAAATATTGATAAAATGCAGATCTCGATGCAGGGATCATGTGCTTCTCTTCAACTGAATTCATGTAGCTTACATGTTCGTGAGTTTCCAATTTTTTGTTTCATTTTACTTTGATATATTTGATTTATATTTCATCAAGTTTTATTTATAAATTATTTTTATCAATCTTATTAATATCAATATAAAAAAATATAAAAAATAAAATTTAATAAAATTTTAAATATAACTCTCAAAAAATAAATAAATTATGTAATTTAAATATTTTATTAAAATAAAATATCATTATTAATTAAATAATTTATAAAGTAAATTATTTTATTCTTAACCAATAAAGACTGGAGGGAGTGTCCTCTACCTGCCAATGATTGAATATGATAGAGAAGCCACGCCAACCTTCTGAGCTTCATTATTAATGCTCTCTATCATGTGCGTGTCAGATCTTCCCCGTCCCCTTGAGAATATATGTTATGAATACACGGTAAGTTCCTCATGACAAAAATTACATATATGATCAGATAGACTGATTTCATATACAATGATCTTAGATTAAATATGAAAGTAGTCTATTATTCATTAATAATTCTCTTGTTTATTTCAAATTGAATATTCTGTTTAATTATTGTCCAAGTACTATGGATTTAATTTTCACTCTGCGATATTTTTCTTTCAAAACTGCCATGGGGTACATTTTTTTCAATGATAATTAAGGATTCAATAAAAACATTAATATTTGACAGTTGTAAATATTGAATTATTGGCATTTCAATAACATACAATGATCCTAGTTTATAAAAAATTATCTTTTACTAATTAATTTGAGATCTATAATAGACTTTCGTAAGTTTTCAACTAATGCTGCAAATATTCTCAAATAGTTTTTATTGATTTTTCAAGAGATAATAAAAGTTCACAAGTGATTGTCATGCGGTCAAGGTTGTTAAATTCACAAGTTTAAATAAACTTATGATAAGAATATAAATTCATATCGCAAACTCGAATCATAAGTCCATAAAAATTTATCTCTATTAACAATAGCCATTAAAATATATTATAATTTAATTTAAATATATTTAAAATATAAATTATTGAGATTAAACCCATATACATTGCTAAATACTATCACATACAAGACATGAAAATTTAAAAATAGGGAAACTTATTTTTGTATATCTGTTTCTTTTTTATTAATATTAATTTTTTATTTTAATTTTTTCTTTGAACCAGGTTTTATAACTTTTATGAACTAAATTCTTCATAATATATAATTAATTCACTCAACTCAAAAAAAAATTGATGAGATTAACAAGTTTAACCAAGCTTGTATATAGTCTGAATTTATGAATTAGTTGATATGATTTTATAGGTTAGAAATGTAAAAATGATAAACTCAGAGGTAAACTCACAAATTTAATCGAGTTTGTATTTAGTCCGAGTTTATGAGTGAGTTGACAAAATTTTGTAAGTTAAAAATGTAAAAGCATTAAACTTATATAGTCAACTCGAGAGTTTAATAATTATGCCTGCAATTCATTACTAACTCCCTTAAATTCTTAATTGACATCATGAATAATTCCAACTTTATTTTATAAATGCCTAAGCAATTTATTTATATATTGACAACAAAAAAATCTCAAGTGATTGGCTTGTGATTCATAATTGTTTTTCGTAAATTCCTAAATAATATTATAAAAAATTTCAAATGTATTTTCTAAATTGTTCAAACAATTTTTATGTAAATTGATAGTAAAAAATTGAGATTTAACTCTCGTGATAAATTTTTAACTGATATTATGAATAATTTTAAGTGTATTTATTGATTTTTAAATTAATTATTTATATTTTTTAAATTTCAAATAAAAACTATGATTTGTTATTAGAATTTCAGTAATTCAGAATTTATAATTGTGAGTTGTTTTTTTATGGCGTCAATGATTGTCGTAAATTGATATAATGACTTGTATCTCTCAGATGTTGAAGTCGGCAAAAACGAACAAAGTGACAATAACCTGTTTTTTTTTTTTTGGGAAAGCAGGGACCGGGCTGAATGAGACGCTGCACTATGCGCACTAATACGCATTGAATAGTAAGATTTTCTGATTTTGAAATACCCCCGTGATTTTTTTTTTCCAGCCCGATTTTAAACATCACCATTAATATTAATAATTAATTATAGTGATAATACTTAGATGGAAAAGTCAAGCGCAGGTGAACTCTGAACCTGAAACGTGCGACAAAGTTTTGGGATTCAAAAAGAAAAAATACAATTATTAATTTTATAATTTTATCAATTTTTTTGAGTCCCTATAATTTTTTTCAGCGTTTTAAGTTTTATACAGATTAAAAATTCTAAAACAATAAGGATCTCAATAACAAACATAACTCAATTTTACTGAAACTATAAAGATTGAAAATGCTAAAAAAATTATAAGGATTAAAAATAAAATTTAATAAAATTATAGGGACCTATGATTAATTTTTTTTTCATTCTAAAATCATTTTCATTAAAATAATTATTAAACAGAAAATACAGCCGACTATTTCTCTTAAAAAATAGCTTTCGCCATTAATTATAAATTTGGAATAATTTTTCTCACCGTCCAAAAGAGGAAGAAGAAAATCACGGGAAAACAAACCGACGGCCCAGATGGTCCCAAGTCACCCCACCCTCTAGCACCTGAGGGCATAATTAGAAGCGTCTTTTTCGCAAGTCACATTTAAACCAATAATGAAGTCACTCTCCATCACAATTTATAAAATATTTTGACTGAAATATACTTTTAATCATATAATTTTATATAAAATTTTAATTTATTTTTTTAATTTTATAAATTATTTTTTTAATTCTTCCTCGTTAGTTTTAAATAATTATTTTTTGTGTAAATCATTATTATTTTAAAAAATTAAACTTAATATATTAACATTTAATAATATTTTATTAATATTTAAAAGTCTAATGTAAAAATTGATTAGGATGAAATTGATTGTGCTAGAGTTAAAGAATTAAAAAAATATTTTATAAAATTAAAGGATCAAAATAAAATTTTATATAAAATGAAAAGACTATTAAAAGTATACTTTAAACAAATATTTTTAAATAAAACTATACATATATATATATGAATAAAAATTATTAAATATATTTTTTAATTTTATTTTTAAAATAAAAATATAAACCTTTACATTTATTTAATATTTTATTTATAAAAATATTAAAAAATAATATTAAAATACTATTGATGAAATTTTACTTTCTAAGATTATTTTATAATTTGGAATAAGAAAGTCCTTAAAAAAATGTGTTACAATTTGAGAGAGATGGTATTATTTATCACACTATACAAAAACTATCATTTCTATTACCATAAATATAAGTTTTTTATTTATTGACTTAAATCATTTTAAAAAATTGAAATGCGTGTTAAATTACTTCAACTTTCATTTAATTTATTAAAAATGTTTTTATTTCTATATTTAACACCATGGACCCACAAGATTAAAAAAATAAAACCTGCGCTCCACCTGTCTTGAATGGCTCAAAACATTATCAATGTTGTTATCTAAAATCTAAAATATAATATAAATAAGATATAAATAGTAGGAGTATAGGAATATGATATTTAAATCACGCAGGACCAAGGGAAGCTTCGTGGAAGCTCCCTGGTGCCAGACTGATGGACTCGATGGTACTTGTTCGCTCCCACCATTTAACCCCTCCACCTTCCTCCCTCCTTCCCCTCAGCCCTTCACCTCTTTACTCTCTTCCCTTCTCCTCCATCTCCTTTCTCCCTGCTGCTCTTTTCCTTCTTCTTCCATTCTACACAATGAAACTTATCAGTATCAACCCCAAAACCTTCCGACTCAACGCCAAACAACTCTTCCGCTCCAAGAGAGAACGCTCCGCCGTCTCCAGATCCGATCCCCCGTCCTTCAGCAGCTCCGGAACATCGTCTTCTTCCGACGAATCCACCCACAAGCCGGCTCCAGGCGCTCCCGGCTCCAGGACCCCCACCAGCGTCTTGCCGGACATTTCTCCTGACTGGTCTGATCACTCCACTGAAATTCAGTCCGATTTGGCCCAAGCTTTGAGGCTCGTAGACCGAGATGACGACGGAATCATCTCGCGAGAAGAGTTGGAGGCCTTTCTGACCCGGCTCGGTGAGAGTCAGGAGGACGTGGCAATGATGCTTAGTGACGTGGATCCCGAGGGAAGCGGGTGCATCAGCGTCGATGCGCTACTAAGCCGGGTCGGGCCGGGCTGTGGTTCGACGCCGGACTCGGATAGTTTAAGGGAGGCGTTCGAGGTATTCGACACGGATCGTGACGGGAAAATCTCGGCGGAGGAGCTGTTAGAGTTTTTCAAAGCTATCGGGGACGAGCGGTGCACGTTGGAGGAATGCCGGCGAATGATTAAAAGGGTTGATAGGAACGGGGATGGATTCGTGTGCTTCGAGGAGTTTTCCCGTATGATGGAGCCACAGAGGTGACTGTGACGTGACATGATGAATGGTCATGATCATATGATGATGCACCTCTAGAATCCTCACGAAGAAGTGGCGATGATCGTGTCAAGTGAAGGGGTGCGAGCATTATTTTTTGTCTCTGTATTTGTTCGGGCGTTTCTTCTCTGGCTGATTTGGGTGTATAATGTTTGAACCCAAGGACGACCTTGGAAGGAAAAAAAAAAGTGATATAAATTAAAATTTAATTATCCATGTTTCAGTTTTTGGGTCCTTGAGCAGTGAAATTTACTATAAATCTAATATATTTGAGAATGTACATGTACAAATGGCCTATATTAGACAAAAACTGTTGTCAATAAACATTTATATTTGTTGGCAAAAAATTGATTAAATTTATAAATAATTCTTCTATATGATCAACCTTTGGTATAATATAACTGAAAAGTGAAAACATCTGTTTTAATTTTCTCTGCAGTTATTTGATGTTCGTAATTGTTGACTTTGTTTCAGATCATAAAATAATTTTAGAGCATTATTTCAAAATATAAAATAATTTAATAAAAAAATTTATATTTGTGTGGATATCATACTTCATTCAAAGTGAATTAAAATGATATTGTAACATAATAATTAAATGAATAAATGTTTTTTTTAAAATTAGTAGTTTTGTTTTCAAAGAGTATATAAAGTGTGAAGTGTTATCACTATGTGTAATTTGAATAATTTGAAAAAAAAAGTATTAATTTAAATTTGACTTAATTTCAATTTTTTTTTCTCTCTTGGTTGCTTGGTTACTTGCGTCTTTTACCCACCTGGGAAGAACTTTGTGGTTCTCGCATTTGATTTTGTTAGGGGAAATGGAGATTTTACTGTTCCAGTGATCTCTCCTTTGAAGTGAAAAGGGATGGAAGAGATGCTAAATTTATCAAATTTAGTATTTTTATTTTTATAAAAAGTCATTCAATAATTATTTTTTCTCGTGCATAGATATTCCTTTCAAGGCAAAATTGTTCAAGGCGGGGTAGAATATCAAAGGTGATATCTCTGGATGACAATTTGAATATTGAAGGGTCATGTTTCTCAATGTCAAAAGTTTCACTTGAGCTGTGATACAAATATAATATATCGTAAGTTTGACATTAATCTGTTTTACATTGAATAAGTTAATTGATCAAGTGATTTCATTTAGTTGTCATTGTCGTATCAATACCTATAATTTGAGGCCGTTGTATAACCAGGACAAGCAGCAGAACCAGTATGCACTAGGAACAGAACTTAACGTGGGTGTTTGAAGAAACCAAGTTACTTGCCAGATACGCTGTTAAATTTGGTTGCTGAACTGTGAAGACACAAATATCATGGCAAACAGTAGAAAGGTCCCGAATCATTGTATTAGTTTCTTAGTTTCAGGGATGGAAAACTTCTGAATTATCTTCTCATTAGCTTCATCAATAAGATTATAAATCATAAGATTTGCTGATTGTTTTTTATGCTGGCATCATCAATCATCAATAACCCGTCTATAGGGTGTTGGGGTTTTTCTACTACATGACCTGACATAATTTTGTTCTTCTTCCTACAGTTTTGTCCGTGTCCACGTTATTATCTTTTTGCCAACCGCGTCCATGTTATCTCCGAACCAAAAAACAAAAAAAAACAATTCGTAAGTCATGTGATGTGAGGACGAGAACATGGAGTAAATGGCCACGTCTCTATGGGATGTAGCTGGTATTGTTTGGACTGACTTGGACTAAAACTAAACCCATTGGCCATGAAAAGATTCACCGCCGTGCAATCAATTATCAAGAAACCCAAGTTCCAGTGAAATATTGTTGTTATTGTGAGCTTTTTTTTTTTTTTCCCCTTTTTTCTTTTTGAAAGAACTACAGTCAGATTCTGCATAAAAAAACCAATTATTGTAAAGTTTATTTAGTTTAATTATCAATGAACTTTGTAATAATTAATTTTTTTATATGAAGTTTCAATATAATTTTTCTTTTTTTTTTTGTGACCTAGTTATGAGTTTTACTCACAGGCTTTTAGTGAATAATTTGTTATCAATAGTGTCACCATAAAATTATGTCAAAGATTAAGATAAGTATTTCTTTTTTTTTGGGCAAAATAAAATAAGTATTCCTAGTTGTAATATTATAATCTCATAAATCACAATTATTTTTCGAGTGCCATGTATTTTTATTATTTCAGCTTATTTTCGTTTCAAATTTAAAGAGGAATCGTCTTTGAAAAATGATTCTGTCTATATTATCTATGCATAAAACATAAATTGCGAAGAGTTAGCTACTTTTTATCTGTAATTGAACGTTATTAACTAATGTTTTTAATGGTGGGTGCTAAATTTGTCTGCTAACAAAAAACATGTCTAATTCAAATAGTGACGACTATATCAATTCACTGGATTATTATTAACATGATTTAAGTATTTGATATATATTTTATATAAGGCTATACTTAATTCAAAGTTTGTGAGATCATTTATTCCACGAGATACTTAAAATGTGAACGGCAGGAAAATAATCGTTGGAAAATGGTTGGCGGGTTTGTTTGTCATGGCATCGTGGGGTAAAGGGGTAAGAAAGTAGCGAAAGTATCCATGAATGGAATATTCCCGTTTTTGTTGTTATTATTTGGTGAACGGTGCTGTAGAACATGCGAAGAGATGTCAACTAAAAATTATACTCCTGTCATTTTAAATTATAAAAAAATTTTAAATAAAATTTTATATATCAACAAATTTTATTAAATATACTTAATAATTTTATCTTTTTAAAATAAAAATATAAATTTTTTAAAATACTCACCATTTAATACACATTGAAAAGAAAATGGATGAAAATTAATTTTAAAGAAAGAAAAAATAATATTGAAATTGATACATTTAATGAAATCATAATCTACTCAAAGTGTTTTATATTTTAGAATGAAAAAACTTTTTAAAAAGTACCCTATAAATTAGGACGGAGGGAGAATTAAATTAAGTCTATATAAATGCAGAAAATGCCTCTGTTTTTATAAGAGTGACTTTCCATTGAATCCTACAATATTTAAATGCGTCTATGTTAAATAGTCGTATAAAAAATTATATAAAAAAAAATTACCAGTTGTCCTTGTAGGTGGAGGATACTTAAATATATAAATATATCAGAATACAAAAAATATTATTTTTTTTGTAAAAGAATTAAAAAATTATCGACAATGTGGGTAAGGTATAAAAATAGCAAAATAGAAACTGAACAAATAATTTCAATGTTTTCCTTAAAACTTAAATATATATATATATATATTTAAAAATTAAAATATGTAGATATTGAATGCTGCTTTTTTTTTGGGGGGGGGGGGATATTAAATGTATCAAGACGTGCACATATCCTTGTGTTCATATATACTTGAGTCTCCGTGGCGTGCCAAAGATAAGACGGCGTCGCTTTCATTTTCAGGTCACACGTTTTCCGCCTCCCAACCCTTCCAACTTGAGCGCGCAGCTCCTTCCTGGAAGCTTCTTCCTTTTCCAACTGTAAGTTTTTTTATAAAATTCAATTTCTTCGTGATTGCCGTACACCGTCTGTCCATTGAGCCCCCCAGCCGATAGCTATTTCTTGTATTTTATTGATTATTTAAATTCATTGGCAACTCAACTTGTATCTTTTGGTCAATCCCTGTTCGGGTGGTGTAAAGTTATAAATTTTATATGTCTTGTAATTTTTTTTTTAAAGTATTAACTCATTGTGGCTCCGCTGTTGTCTGATGGTTATTCTTGTAAATTTTATGGTGAATAAAAAGACATATTTACTTTTATCTCGATAAAATATTTTTGTATACATAATACAATATCTAAAAATTTCAATACAATATTCATAAATATATAACACATATGGTGAACATTAACTTAAAGTAGGTTGTTTCAATAAAAATATATTATTTATCATGGACTTTATCCTTATAATATTGTAGGTCTACATATGTTCACTATATCAAGAATTAATAAACACTATGTTGTGTATTCATGAGCATTATGTTGTTCATAATTTACTTGCTTGTACATTTCACTTTAAATTAAACCATGTGCGCCAGATGTATCATACATTCTTGAATATTGTGTTAAAAGTTTATGGATATCATATTGTGCACATATGAATATGTCCTAGAGATGTTAGCAATTGTGTATGTGAGCATTTTCATATTTTATTAGGCTTTTAGTGCAAATTTTCACTCCCTTTGTTAAAAAAATATAAAGTATTTTTAATTAAATTTCTTCTCCAATAAAATAATTACTTGTTTTTAAATTAATCTTATATTTTCATATTTATTCTTATTAAATATCCTATAATAAATATAAAGTCATTAATTAATATGGATGCTTTTTTTTAAAAAAGCAATGATTATACCTCGATGGATTAAAAATACCTTATATTTTTAAACATTCAACTCCTTAAAAAATATTTTATATTTTTTAACAAAAAGAATATGTTTTAGAAGCTCTAAGCGAGATCCTCTTTTTTTTTTTTTTAATTATCAACTCAAGATCCTAAATTTTAACGCAAGATAATTTAATTTTTATAATTTTTAATTTAAAATAACTCAATCCTTATTATCTATGGACTTGGCGCAATTCATTTCTATAATAATTTAATTCAAAAAATTATAATGACTAAATTGTATTAAGTCAGAAACTAAATTAATAGAAAATTTGAAGATCACCGGTTACGTTGGCCTTTTTTCTGTTCAACTCATTTTTCTCCCAATTTCTTTAAATTCATTTTTTTATTTTAAAATTAATTTTTTATCATTTTAAGAATAGATTTTTTATAATACTTAAAAAATATAAAGGACTCAACTCTTCTTTTAAATTTTTTTTTGTGGATGTTAAAATTTAAAAATCAATGTTAAATATATTTTAAACACTATCATATAACAATATTACCATTTTGATTTTTTAAAGCAAATATCTATACTCAAATATATGGTCTCTCAATATAAAATAAGGTAAAAATGAAAAAAATTAATATAATATTTGACATATATTTTAAAAATTAAACTTTTTTTCAGGTATTTGAACTAAGTCTGAGTTCCATCGGGCTTTATTTGTGCCTGCTCAAACATAAAAATAAACAATTTCTTAAGGCCAATTCTAAATTTTTCTAGCTCATTGAAGTTAGTATAAATTACCGCACCAGCTTCATGCGTGGACTACATGAATTGAGGGTATTGAAATAGAAAAATATTGAGATCTCAATTCTTCTAACTAAATTACAAGGTACATGTCAAATAAAATCAGATCACCAATTTATTGTTTTCATAACCAGTGATCTTTTTAAGTGCAAGGCCACAGCAAAAATCATGTAGGGAAGACAAGACTGAGTCAAACCCAAAAAAAAAAAGAAAAAAGAAAAAAAAAAGAAAAAGGTTGTGGCAGGTTGTGGGAAATTTTAATATCATCATCGTCCCGGAACACATTACTACAATAACTTGCTTTTCTAAGAGCTTAATCGATGATGACAGTGTAGGCTCCCGTGATCAATTTCTTAATCTTTTTGATATAATCGCTGAGACGATGGTTCTGAAAATCTGTGTGAGGCGAGGGCAAGAGCCTTAATCGGATTAAAATAAACAAGGACTTTGTTAAATTCTTCATCCCAATCTTGAAAAGTTCGGTAGTTATACTAAGGATGGAATCCAAAAAACTTGTGAATCCTTTTAACAAGTTGTCGTGCTCATCGTGGACGAGACCGCAACAGTCAGTCTACCTCACCGGCATCCATATTTGTCACGGAGTTCCATCAAAAGACTGTGTGGTCTGATAACAGGGCCCCAATAAAATTTCACGACAAAAGTAACATTTTGGTTTTTAAACTTCCCTGAAGCCGAGGCCACCGTTGTTTTTATCTTTAGTAGAGCATAATCCCATGAAACAGGACGAGGGATTTTAAATCCGTCACACGAGTTCCAAAGGGCCACGTATTTCCAGCAAGATGAATTCTTCACTCAATTGCAATGCTCTATCATGGTTCACATTGCTGGAGCGAATCAATGATCCCTTCGTGACCGTGGACCATGGTATTAGTCCGGGTAAGCCCCATGTATCTTCAACACCAACAATCCTGACCCACAAGTTCTGGATCCGAATGCGACCCGACCAAGGTAGCTCCGGCGTCTTGATCCGAATCACAGGCCATTGTTTATTTATTTGACTGTCTTAAGCCCAAAAGGCCGAAACCTTCAAAGAAGGCAAGCCCATTATGCTTCAGAGAAAGAAATCATCGGTGGGTTGTCGACTTTGCTAGCATTTCGCAATTGCGCATGAAGCTTTCATCCCCAAGCTCCCTCTTCTTCCCCTTCCATGCTCAAACTGCGGAGCATCAGACGAATACAGAAAATCAGGTCGTCTTTCTCTGCTCTGAGATTTCACTCTACTCACGCACTCGAACTTCCGCTCCATCAAGAAGCCGACAAGCATATACCTGAACAACCCCTAACCCAATCCCAGATCAAGACCCTAGTTCTCAACAACTACGCTCACGGTAAGTTCCTCAACCTCGTAACCAATGTCGTCGCTTTGCCCACCGTCCTCCTCACCGCCTGCCACAACCTCACTACCCCGCCTGCCGACCGTGCTCCCGACGCGCCTTCTTCAGCTTCCCTTGTTGAATCAATCTCCAGGCGATTCTCCATCGAAGAGATGGCTCGAGAGCTTTGCGATAATAGGTTCGATGTCGGAGCTTGCTGTGTCACATTACTGCCTCTGAGGAAGAACGGGGAGCCTTTGGTTTTGCCAAATTTGAAATTGAAGGTGTTGATTGAGGCTATTAGGATGGTGTTGGAAGTGGTGTATGATGAACGGTTCGTGACCTTCGCCTACGGCGGCCGTGTCGGAATGGGACGGCACACGGCTATAAGGTACCTGAAAAACTCGGTGCATAATCCCACCTGGTGGTTTACTGTTGGCTTTAATCGCCAGAAGTTTGATCAAAGTCATGTAGATAAGTTATGCTTGTTTATTGAACATAAGGTAGAGGACAGTATTCTGGTTGAATTGATGAAGAGGTTGTTTGAATATCAAGCTCTGGAAATTGAACTGGGCGGGGCTTACCTAGGAAGGGGGTTTCCTCAGGAATGTGGGCTGTGTACTATTTTGGTAAATATTTACTTTGATGGCTTTGATAAAGAAATTCAACGCATACGACTTACGGAAAGTCAAGAGAATCCTAAATTGGATCCCAAGCTAATTGTTTCTACATCTGATGTATTCTACAAGCCAGTGAAGATATATGCAGTGAGGTACTTGGATGAGATAATTATTATAACATCTGGCTCTAAGATGTTTACAATGGACTTAATGAAACAAGTTACGAAGCATTTGGAACTCCATTTGGAGTTACAGGTTAATAAATTGAATACGGCTATTCATAGTGCAGTGTCAGAGAAGATTAATTTTCTTGGAATGGAATTACAGGCAGTTCCACCTTCTGTTTTGCACCCTCCAATGTCGGAGAAAGCAATCCGTGCACGGAAGAAGTACCTTAGACAGAAGGAAGTTAGAGCTCTTGAATTGAAAAATGCTAGAGAAAGAAACAGAAAGAAATTGGGGCTGAAGATATTTTGTCATGTTTATAAGAAGCTGAAGCGAAGTAATGACTTTAAATTTGAATTTAATATTGAAAATGAAGTCAGAGAAATTTTTAAATCTTGGGCTGATGAAATAGTGCAAGAGTTCTTGGGGAACATAGAGGAGTGTCGAGAATGGCATCGAAAGCTGTCAGCTGGTGATTTTCTTTCTTTAAACCACATCAGGAATCAACTACCGCCAAAGCTTGTTGATTCATATGATCAGTTTCAAGCCCAGGTAGACAAAATTTTGAATCCTAGAAAAGCTATCAGGGCAATAGAGGAAGAAGAAAGGAGGGCAAAGGAGGAAGAAGAACAAAAGTATGCTAGGAGAACAGTTGAAGATTTGACCAGGCTCTGTATGAAAGTTGATGCACCAATAGTGGCCATTAGGAAGGCTGTAAAAATGGTTGGGTTCACAAACCATATGGGTCGTCCAAGACCAATAGAATTCCTCGTGGCTCTCGAGGATGCTGATATTATCAAGTGGTATGCTGGCATAGCAAGAAGGTGGCTTGATTTCTTCTGCTGCTGCCATAACTTCATGACGGTCAAAACTATTGTAACTTATCATTTGAGGTTTTCTTGTATCTTGACGCTAGCGGAGAAGCATGAATCCACTAAACGCGAAGCCATTAAGCATTACAGCAAAGATTTGAAAGTCTATGAAATAAATGGGAACGAAGAAGTGAATTTTCCCACTGAAAGGGAGGTGAAGATGATGGGAGATAGAAATCTCTCAGACCCAAAACCTGTTGATGGAGCTTTATCTTTGGCCTTAATTAGACTGGCATCTGATGAGCCCCCTTCCTGTTGTATTGCTCACTTCTGTGACAGAACGACTCGTGTCCTTTATCGAGTACGTTTGCTGCAAAACAGCTTAAACGTGAACCCGTTGGACGAAGAGACATGGGTCCCAGGTATGGGTGCAATTCATGAAAACCTGAACAGACGATGCCTCCCTCTCTGTGTTGATCACATGAATGATTTATACTTGGGAAAAATCACTCTCCAAGACGTTGACTGTTCTTCTTCTGTATACGTAGACTGAGACTATTGCTTGCATAGTCGGCGAAATTTGAAATAAAATAGGCGAGCCCCTTGTCACGTTCCAGGGTTGAAGTTTTGACTTTCAGGAAGACACTCCAGTGTGCTAGTTTTGCTGATTTGGAGGGTCTACATGTTTGCAAAGCATTAGTTTGTTTGATGATGATGACGACCTTAATGCGGTTGATGAATTTGATTCAAACGACGATTCATTACACTCGAATGCAATTATATGTTAATGGCCTTATTCCTAGTGGAACATTCTAGGGAGTTCTAAACATCTCTACATTCTCCTTATGATCAAGAATTGTGGCTAAATATCTAACATGCATAAGATATTAAAATTCGGTTTGACTGTTCTAAAAAGTTTAGATAACTTCTGAAGAATTTAAGGCCATCGTTTACTTTTAACAAATTTTCTTAGTATACGTGAATTAATTAAAAGTGTTTCCTGAATACAATTAAAGGAGTAGTAGGATGGATATACAATTTTTAGCCTTTTAAATTTGTCTAAAAAGCAAAATATGATGCTGCGGCCTAGTTTAGATGAGAAGTTAAATATCAAAGGTTCACATCATTTTAATGTAAAAATCTGTTTATAACTTATTTAAAAAACAAGATTTAAAAATTTAAGTTGAGTAAGAATAAGAAGTAAAAATGTAATTTTAAAAGTAAATGTATATTTTACAAATTTTAAAATAAAATAAAATATTATAAGATGCTAGGTATTTATAGCACATACAATTCTTTTTTTTTAACCAATGTTATAAAAGTAAAATGTATTGACTACCTTTTTATTTTAGTTTAATGATACATACTCCTTCGTTAAAAAATGTAAGATATTTTTTAAGAGGTTAGATATTTAAAAATATGAAACATTTTTAATCTTTCGAGGTGTAATCATTATTTTTTTTAAAGTGCCCTTATTGATAATTAAAGATAGGGTTAATTTAAAAATATGTAACTACTTTATTGGGGGTGAGATTTAGTTAAAAATATCTTATATTTTTAAATGAAGAAAGACCATTTTTCTATTTTGAAAAAACTTGCATAAAAAAATGTTATATAAACCAATCTCATTTTTATTTATCTAACTATTAGTTGATTGATAAGTTTAACTTTTAAACTCGTAATTTAATCAAAATACTCCTCTTTAATATGAGAATTATCTAAGCATCTATATTTGCCAAAAAAATTTTTTTTTTTGTGTACAACTAAAAACAATATAATAAATACATTTTCAAAGTTTTATCGTGTTATAAAATTTATTAATTTTTTATCATATTATAAAAACTAAAATTTTAATGTTTATCAAATTTATTAAAACTTATTTATTTATATTTTTTAAATTACAAAAAACATATTTCAAACACATTTTGTCCATAAAATGATATAATTTCCATAAAAATATCACTAGATTGGGCACCAATGATTTCTTATTGGGTCAAAATCTTGGCTGATTGATTATCATCATCCATTAATTGATTTCATATGGAGGGGTTGAATATATTTTTCTTGAGAGATTAAACAGTAAGAGGTAAATGAGCGTCCCTGGGATCCTTCAAGGGCAGATCGGCTCAGCAGTGGGGGATGCAGTCCAAAATTCTGAGTTCAGGTTCCATGTCGTGGGCTGTTCTACCGAGCAGGTATGCACATCTGAGTGCTTTACGGTGACAGCGATGGATTTCTATTTCTACCTCAGCAGCAAAGGTGACTCCGAATGCAAGGCGTCGACTGATAGAAATCCCCAATATGAAAATACTCTGCAAACAACCTTTTAAGGAAATTAGGCCGTTAAAATTATGATTCAAATTTTTATAATTTTTTATAATTATATATATATATGTGTGTGTGTATTATCTTGGTATAAATTTATTATATCTCTATTTGATATTTTATAAAGTATTTATTATCATTTAAAATAATATTTTTAATTGATGAGAAGCTCTCTCTCTCTCTCTATATATATATATATCTATCTTGTCTCTCCATCCTTAAAAAAGAAGAGACAATTATTATAATTTTTATTTTTTATAGTGAAATTATTTGCTCATTGCTTGTAGGTTTTTCATCTCTCAAAATTGGGAGTTTTCTTATGTTAAATTTATTGTGTTATCTTTTATTAATTTCTCTAACTTTTTTATAATTTTTAATTATTTTAACCTATTTGCTTTCGCTAATTATTTGCGTACTTCCTATCATCGAGCTTCGATATCTCTCACTAGTAGCTAAGGTGAGTGTTATGTAGTTTATTTGATGCAAAATTTACTTGTTTCTTACTTTTGTTTTGCTGTGGAATATGATTCTTAAGGAGAGATCGGGGTGACATGGAAGTGATCCGGTCGTTAGGATGTTTCTGTTTTGTGATGTAGAATGGTCATCTGTTAAAACAATCCAGCAAGGTAATCAAATATACGAAATTTTCGTGGTACTTGTAGGTGCTTCTGCGTCTAGTTAATGTGGGCAGCATCTTACAGGACTGCGTGGCATTTAGGATAACAATAGATGAACATAAATTATAAGATTTCTACAATTTAAAAAAGGGAGGTTCTAATTCATATTTTCGTTCAGGGTTTATGTTTGTGCATGCTCCTCTAGTTGCTTACACTTCAGATTTATTTGATGCGTATATTACGCTATACAACGTGCTGCCAATATAGTGATGCATTGCTGGTTCTGTTCAAGTAACTTTTACTCGAAAGTTTGGCTAATGCATGGTTCATTTGGGAAGAGATTGAGCTTCAAGAAATAGTGAATATTCTTATGCAAAAATGTATAATATACCTTAAGGATTTTCTATGGCTCTTTTTTGTGAAGTCCAGAGATGAATATTGAATATTCTTCCCCGGACTGTAGTTTTTATTAACAATTTATTATAGTTAACAACTTTTGAAGACGTTTAATATTTATTGCACATTGTCTGTAGGCTTCGAGGATTCAGTTTAGGAGCTTTTCATGCTTGCTGTGTTAAATGAACAACTAGTAAAGTAGAAGATGAGGTTGGTATCATTGAGTCTCCTCAAATATCAGGCGAAGGATCTCTTTCATTCAAGACATTTCACAGTGTAGGACACGCTTCCCTCAACATTATTGTGCGCAAACTTCCTTCAGAAGCTGATGCAAGAAGCAAGAAAAGAGGAGGATGATACGGAGTATGAACTGGAAACACCTGTGGGTGAAGTACATGGCAATGGTAGGAAGGATGTTGAATTAATATCCGAACAAGACTCATCCTATGAAAAAGAGGGTGTGGAGGATTTAAACAGTGAGTCGGAGTTATCAGATACTTCCTCCACTTTTTATTGTTACTTTTCACCTGTATTTTTTATAAGCAACATTGTCTATTTCAATAAGTATTTATTATAAATTTTTTAAATCATCCCTCATATTTACATTAATGAGAAATAATTAATGCATGCTTATGATGATTAATATAGGGTATTTTAATTTAATTTTTTTATTTTTAGATATAATTATTACAATTAACTGACTTTCTTAAATTGTATGATACAGAGTATTTTGAGATTGACTCAACTGAAAAAAGAATCACAGAAGAAAGGGATTCAATCCCAACTATTCAGGGCAATCACTAGAACCCCGGGTTTGTCTATTAATTCTGTTCTTGAGAAGCGGGTTGAGGAAGGGAAAGAATTAATTTGAGAGGCTGTGTGAAATCAACGCCTGCAACATATGGAATGTGCAGAGACAGGTAAGCAGAAGATGGCTGAGGATCTAGATCCAGTGTACCGTTGAAATACATGCCAAACAATTTTGTTTGAGGCAGAATCATTTACTAAATATGAGCATATTTTTTTATAAAAAAATTCAAACATTAATCCATACTGATTCATTTTGTGAAACTTAACCCTATTGATTTGTATGTTACTTTTACTTTCCAATCATTTCCCGGGGTATACCATGTCTTACTGAATCTTCCTTATTAACAAGACCAGGTACATTTTTGGCAATTTGACGGAAGATAGGAGCCCGTGAAAGTTACAAGAATGTCCCTACCCTAACCCCCCCCCCCCAAAAAAAAAAAACGTAAAAATATATAAATAAAGGAAAGGTTAAAAGGCAAAACATATGTGAATAGAAAGGCTTGAGTATTACTTTCATTCTTAATAAAAGATACACTGTGAAAGGCTTCTAACATCCTAAATCTAAAATACTTTGCAAGAAGTTAATAACATTAAATTATCTTTTTTCACAAATATCTATACTAATTATGCAGAAAACAATGATATAATAAATTAAAGGTAATTAATATAAATTATTTTAACTTTAAGATAATATTGAAAATTAATAATACTGTTTTTCAATTTTAATGACATAAACTATTTTTATTGCTTTTACATATATTTCTATTAAAAGTAATTATATTTAAAATACAGTTAGATATTAAATACAATACAAACTATATAAATTATTTTAACTACATTTCAAAATTCTCTATGTATAAAGTAGTTAAAAGTGTATTCCCTCTAATTTCATTTATAAAGTACATTTTAAAAAGTTTATTTGATCATGTTTATAAATTATAGTGTAACTTTTAAATAATATTTAAAAAATATTTTTAGAATTATCTTTCATAAAAAAAAAGATAATACGAAAATATTTTTTAAATTTGTTATATAAAAATATATTTAAAATTTTACTCTTTTTATTTTAATATTAATGTAGTTTAGAAAAGAGCACATTCTATCTTCGCTTTTGTTTAGGTTAAAGCTGCATGAATACTGACTCATATGAGGACCAAGTGCGAATGGGGAAACACTGTGCAGAAAGTGGGGAAGATTCAATTTCAGGATTAGTCTCGAAGGGGGAAGATTCATTGGCGCGCGTCCAGCATTAACCTCGTAAATTATATATACTGAGCAGAACTGCAGAAGTAGATAGGTGATGAAAGAAAAGATAAAATTCAATTTTCAGTCAGCTTAGTCCGTTCCGCACCAATTACTCTGTCCTGTTCCAGAGTCAAGTCCAAGGCGTGTCAGGACCGTTTCACACAAAATATGGCGTGCAAGGGAGTTTCCCAACCTTCCCCATCCAATAGTTTCGAACAATGAAACTCTAGAATTCTTCGAAAGTAACAGACGGCTTCATTTCTCAAGAATTCTCCATTCATTTTATCTCACATGATTTTTTTTTTCTCTGGTACAATTCATTCATGGCGATCCTTAAGATAACCCAAAAGCACCATAACCGCTTCAACAACCCCTTCCCTCCTGCCCCATCAAGTATTCCTTTCGTTCAAGGGTCTCTTTTCCTCAATTCCAAAACACTGCATTCACATGAAATCTTTGCAATCGGTAATGATTTTCAGCTTTCCTGGTTCTCCGACAATGGCGGATACCTCTCAATTTCGCATCTTTCTCAGCCAAGTCGACCCATTTGGTCTACTGTCCCAGGACAGGCCTTCGTCTCCGCTGCATTGGCTGACACCGAGGTGGAAGAAAGCAGGGGATCCTTCCTTGTCAAGGACAGAGGTGTTCATTTGGTCTGTCCTCACCAAACCATTGACTCTATTAGGGTGGTTAATCCATGCGACCGTCGTCGGGAAACCGAGGTGGCAAATTCTCCTTCTGGGTACCTGGGATTAAGTCAGAAAAGGGATATCAGAGGTATGCATCTTCCTACTTTGCTGATCACGGGAAGGCTTTTCAATACGACGACGAAGAATAGAAAGTTTCAGAAGCAAGTCACGCATTCAAATATGCAGTTCAAGGCAACAGGACCCTCTGCCTCCGCAAGGTACTGGGTTTTGTTCAGTCAGAAAAACAATAATCAGGTTGGATTTCATGTTAAGACTGAAACACCAAAAATCATTTCACGCAAGCAGAGCTCTACAACAGTTTCAGGAATGTACCGAGGATTTAAGAAGAGGCTGATTAACCGAAAAAGAAGATTTGGTTGGTTTTGGAATCTTTCGAGGCCAAGAGGTTTTGTCTTATTTTCATCAACAGAGGAAGAAATGGCAAAATTTAAAAAACCAGAATCAGCAGAGTTCAACAGGATTTGGGTGACGTATGCAACTGATGAGGATGAGAGATTTTACGGTTTCGGGGAGCAGTTCTCTCACATGAATTTGAAAGGGAAAAAGATACCCATTTTTGTTCAAGAACAGGGAATTGGAAGAGGAGATCAACCTATCACCTTTGCTGCTAACTTGGTCAGTTACAGGTAAAACAGAGCACAAGCTTCATATGCTCAACCTGTAAAGCATATGTTGTTGACAGCATTTCACTGATTGGCAGGGCAGGGGGTGATTGGAGTACCACTTATGCTCCTTCTCCATTCTACATGACATCTAAAATGAGGTCCATTTACCTTGAAGGATATGATTATACCATCTTCGATCTGACAATACCGGATAGAGTACAGATCCAGGTATTCTTTCTTTCATATAATCTACCTTCGAACATGTAGACGTAGTTTCTAATTCCAGCCCTTCTCCTTTCCTTTCATTTTGTTTTTCCTTTTACTAGAAACACGCAGTTTCTAATTTTCTGTGAAATGGAGCTTGCAGATACATGGAAATTCAGTTGACGGGCGGATATTGCATGGGAACTCACCTTGTGAACTCATTGAACGTTTCACAGAAACGATTGGAAGGCAACCTGAGCTTCCAGAGTGGATAATATCTGGTGCTGTAGTCGGAATGCAGGGTGGCACAGAAGCAGTACGTCATATCTGGGATGAACTAAGGGCCCATGACCTTCCCATTTCAGCATTTTGGTTGCAGGTAATTCCTTGAGGAAAGGGAGCAACACAATAATATGCAGTTTTAGCAGACTTTTTGATAACCTATAGTGCAACTGCCTTCTATAACGTCTTTCAATCCTAATGTGAACTTCTAGCATATAGTGATGTCACATTTTGATATTTTGTATATTTACTTTGAATTTGTAATTGTTGAATAGGATTGGGTAGGGCAAAGAGAAACTTGTATTGGTTCACAATTGTGGTGGAATTGGGAAGTGGATGCACAAAGGTATAGCGGATGGAAGGACCTTAACAAAGATCTTAGTGCTCAGCAAATCAAAGTGATGACATATTGTAATCCATGTCTAGCTCGGGTAATACATTCTTTGAGCACTAGGTATAAAATATTTCGTTAGACAGGAGCTGGAGACTGGAGACAAAAATCCACTTATATAAATTTGTTGTCTGACCCTGTAGGTTGATGAGAAGACAAACAAAAGAAGAAACCACTTTGAGGAGGCAAAGCAGTTGGACATCTTAGTGAAAAACAAGAACGGGAATCCATACATGGTTCCTAATACAGCTTTTAATGTGGGCATGTTGGATCTAACACACCCAAAGACTGCAACATGGTTCAAGCAAATTCTACGAGAAATGGTGAATGATGGTGTTAGAGGATGGATGGCTGATTTTGGGGAAGGCCTTCCTGTGGATGCCGTTCTCTATTCAGGTTTTCTTCTTATCTTCTTTCACCCAGAGCTTCGACACATCGGAACAACTCAGGACTTTTCTGAATGATCCATGTGATCATCAAACAGAAAGAAATGGAAGTGGGCCAAAGCAAGAAAGGAGTATTTGGACGAGGCTCTTTTCTTCTTTTGAATTTCATATCCATTTCCAGTGACTAACAAATATCCACAACTTTAACGAGCAACCAGAAGATCCAGGGGCTATTGGTTGGGAAGCATACCTTTGCTTCTATCTACTGGATCCTAGTCCAGTTTCCTTTTTAAACACACGCTCACACATTCATAAAGGGGGAACAAATTCAATCTAATTTAATAGGTTTCAATGATGACTGTACACCCACGACCACTTCTGTTAACTACTTGATCTGCGAAGCTGATAATTCTCCCCTCCCCACAACTCCCAAAAAAGAAAAAGAAAAAAAAAGAAAAAAGAAAAGAAAAGAAAAAAAAAAAGAAAAGAATGTTCGAAGAGCATATAGCAAGAAGAACTTGTTAGGGCTTGTGAGTACTAAGATTTGGTACCCTACGTTTCAGGTGAAGATCCTATTTCAGCTCATAACAAATACCCAGAACTATGGGCCCAAGTCAACAGAGAGTTTGTTGAAGAATGGAAAAATGACAATTTGGATAAGGCAAAAGAAGAGAGCTTGGTTTTCTTCATGAGGGCTGGTTTCAGAGATAGCCCCAGATGGGGGATGCTATTCTGGGAAGGAGACCAAATGGTTAGTTGGCAGATGAATGATGGAATCAAGAGTTCTGTTGTTGGCCTACTAAGCAGCGGAATTTCAGGGTTTGCTTTTAATCACAGTGACATAGGAGGCTATTGTACAGTAAACTTACCTATAATCAAGTACACAAGAAGTGAGGAGCTGCTTTTGCGATGGATGGAACTCAATTCATTTACCACCATCTTCCGCACCCATGAAGTAAGTAGTATACACATGCATCATGACAATTTCTCTCGTGATTTCCTTTTTCCATCTTCACAGCCAATTCACATCAAGTTTGTTAAAGCATGTATCATAGTGAAGAACCCTGCTTAACAATGAAAATATTCGTTTCTGACATGATACTCCTGAAAAGAGAAGATTCACCTCCTAAGTTCTATAATTGTTACTTCTTTTCCATAGCTATTTCGAAAGTTACAGAAATGGTTTGACTGGTATTGCGATCCTCGTAAATCATTCACATTCATTTCAGAAAATACCGGTTTTCTGTATAAATGCTTACTCTTTAAAAAGGAAAACGGCATTATACATAGAGATATCTATTTTGAAAAATTCCTTATTCTGAATAATATGGGCCATCTTAAGGGCCACGAGAAAGGGAACTTTCAATTTCAATAAATCGTTGCTAAAGTTTGACGGCAACGCATTAAATCTCTGAGACTACTTTTCCTGGAATACCCAACTTGTACATCAATCGGTTTCTGAAAATTTTGTATCTTCGGCAAACAGGGAAATAAACCATCTCGCAACAGCCAGTTCTACTCAAACCAACGAACACTGTCACATTTTGCACGCTTTGCAAAAGTGTACGCAGCCTGGAAATTTTACCGTATTCAACTGGTGAAGGTGATTCCAAAAATCCTTGCACCAATTTAATGCCAGATTTTGTAGATTCAGTTCAGCAAACACCTAACATGTCCTTTTCAAGTTCTTTCTGCACAGGAAGCTGCACAAAAAGGGCTGCCTGTATGCCGCCACCTATTTCTCCATTACCCAGGTGATGAACATGTGCTTCAGTTGAGTTATCAGCAGTTCATGGTTGGTTCTGAGATTCTAGTGGTGCCTGTTCTTGACAAAGGAAAGAAAAAAGTTAAAGCCTATTTTCCATTGGGAGAGACTAGTAGTTGGCTACATATCTGGACGGGGAAAGTGTTCTCTGAAAAAGGAAGTGAAGCATGGGTAGAAGCTCCATTAGGAAATCCTGCTGTATTTATTAAGGTTGGCTCCATAATTGGGGAAACCTTCTTGCAAAACCTAAGAAGTTTTGGCATTCTTTAAAACAATAGATGTAAAGCTCTTACGGTCTAAGTAGCTTATCTAGCCATATCTTTTGAGCAATGAGCTCAGACTCAAGTCATTGCAATTGAATTTATTTACAGAAATAACTGAAGGCCCTCAATTATACACGTCATGTTCATTCGGCTAAACATCCAATCAATTAAAAACTTGCTCTATTCCTACTATTAGTTAGAACAATTCTAATACTGAGCCCCCCTATTTACTTATGTTTGGGCTTTTGTGGTATTTAATTTTAATCACTTTCATCATTATTTCTTCCATCCGAATGCTGTTTTCTTCATTGCTGTTGGACTAAATCTCCACCAACAGGTCCGTAAAAAAACTCGACACTGCAGTTATTTCCTGGCAAACTGGAAGACTAGACATTCTCAGAATTCACTACCATACCTTATGGAAAACATCCTATTTGGGCCCCCTGTAAACATCTAAAATCATCGAAATAATTTGAGCAGTGATACATCAGCTAAATCTCCATCAAAATCAAGGCCACCCATTTGATCATTGACTACCAGTACAGTGTTTGAAAACAGGAAACCAACGGATATGATGCCAAATGCAACTTAGCAGGACTTCGTTGCTTAACTGGAGTCTGACGTCTCGCACCTTGGTTATGTTTCTTGGATGCTTACAGGTTTATCAACCCAGAAAATTCTACCTTCTATATAACAAGCCTTGTGAAATTTCATCCTTCAAAGCTAACCTTGCGCCCTTCTTTGATTCATGACATTATTAGAAATGCATTCTGCTTTTAGCTTAATATCACAAAACTAACCAGAGTTTTGCAAAATCCTTAATACTATTTCCCCCAGACAAAAACATATCTAGAAAAAAGATACCTCACTACTTTCCAACACTACTTTCAACTGCTCTCAAAAATTAAGAAAGAAACATATAGAATGAATTTCCTTTCCAATTCTCCAATAAATCAGAGCCATATAATATTCATCAAAAGAAGCACTTGATAAAAAACACATAAGCCATCAACTTGACTACTAATGACATTTACACTTTATGTTTAGTGCACTGTATATCTTCAAAGTTCAAATATAAATCGATGTTCATCGCTTATCAACTACGCTTGGTGTCTATGTTGTTTGGACTTTCTTGCGAAGAAAAAGACATCTCCCAACTTTCAAACAATAAGCCCGAAATAACGATCGCTCATTCTTAAAATTCACAGATAATTATTCTGGTATTCCATAGATAGAACGTGTTAAGCCTATACCTTCACAAGTAAATCGGAGAGTTGAAGCGCATCCTCCAAAAGCATGGCGAGAAAATATGCGAACCCGTTTGTCGAATTGTCATTGTGGACGCTTGAAACTCGTGCTTGCATTACTTCAAGACAAATCGAGAGAGGAATGCGACTTGAATCGAGTCAGCAAGGCAGAACTTGCATAAGAAGTGTGTACATTCGTGACAGGGTAGGAATGGGGTTGATGTTTATGATTTCCATGTGGAAGAACAATTTGATGATTTTCAACTTTCAAGTGTTTCCAGCAAAAAAAAAATAAAAAGGTCGATGTTCCATGCTTTTTGGATGCAGCGGTCGCGCTCCCCCCTGCGGAATTCGAATATTTTAGACGCATATTCTCTCTTCGGTGCCGTGGAAACGCTACTTTTATTTATTTATTTATTTGTTTATTTGGAAAATTTTCTTCAAAGAAAAATAATAATAAAATTATTTTAAAATATATAAATGACAATTTAGTTTTTTTAAAATATCATAATTTTTTAAAGACCCTATGACTTTTTTGTTATTAATAAACTTATATAAATTATTAAATTATCTTTATTAAAAATAAATGATTTATAAGTTTTATTTAAATATTCATAATTTTTATTCTTATATTCACAACAATGTAACAAAAAATAAGAAATAAACATGCAAAATTGTGATTTGCTATTACATCATTACGAATATGAGAAAAAAATTGTGAATATTTAAATAAAACTTATAAATTATTTATTTTTAATGAAAGTAATTTGATAATTCATTAATGATAGAAAAGTCCTTAAAAATTTTAGGAAATTATCACAGTTTGAGAGATTAAATTATCATTTATATATTTTAAAAATATTTTATTATTATTTTTCTTTCTTTAAAGCTTTACCCAATGACGATGCTGATATAATATTACATCAACAGTTCAGAATTGTAAAATTTTTTGTAGACTATGATTAAAATATTTTTTTCTACTTCTAAATAATCTATAATTGTTTATTGATTGATCAAGTTTTAACATTTTAAATTTATTTATTTATTTTTATATAATTTTATAAGAATTACTCCTTCTGATTCTATTTATAAGACACCTTTTATAAGTAATTTTTGATTTAAAATATAAAACATCTTGTAATAATAAACAATATTTTTTCCAATTTTACCTTATCTCGATCAGCATAAAAATATTTAATGTCATTGCATTATTATTTAAAATTAAAAGTAAAAATAAAAGTGCATCTTACTTTTTTATGATATCAAGAAAAAGCATAACTTTTTTTAATATGTATGAAATGATTAAAAGTATTTTATAAAAAAAAAATCAAAGAGAGTAAATCTCAACTATCCAATTTTCAATCCATTAGTAGAGGATGAGATATAGGAAAAAAAGAGAAATAGAATGAGAGGATCCAAATCCATATTTTCTTGCGGAGTTTATTTTAGGTTTAAGATTAAAGTATCATTGTGGGTGTATGCTAATACTAATTTTTTATTTTCAGGAGAATTTTAGTTAAGAACTCCAATAGAGATTTAATTTTAGGTTGGTAATTTTTTTTTTAAATTTTAGTTCAGTTCAAGGGAAAAAATCAAAAAAATTTTAATGATGAACAGATCAAAATATCTTTGATTTATTATACAGAATTATTAATTGTTAATTTTTTTGTTGCACTTGTTAATTTGCTAATATCACTAGTGAATTACATCATTTGTTAGACAATCAGTAACATTTATTGTTAACTTATTAACTTTACTTATTAATTTACTAATACTAGTTGTAAATACACCAATTGTAAATACATATTTACAACTGGTGTTAGTAAATTAATAAATAAAGTTAGCAGTTTAATAAATGATATTGCTGTTTATGATTGAAAAATTAATGTCAAGTCTTATATTGATATGTTAACTTATGTAATTTACAACTTATATCCGTAAATTAACAAGTGAAGTAAGAAAATTAATAACAAGCCATTTTGCATAACAAGTGAATGATATTTTAGTTTTTTTCATTGTTGAGATTCTTTTAACTTTTACCCTTTAGATTGAATTAAAATTTTAATTTTTTTGAGCTCACTTGAAATTAAATCTTTACAATAATCCTTAACTAAAATTCTCTGTTTTTTTCTTTGGATTTCTGGAAAATTACAACACTTTATTACAACTTCATATGCATCAAAATGAACCAAGAGAAAATTCACTAGAAGAAAACCTTTTACCATGACTTGGGCATATATTTATTTAAAGATAAACGAACAAATTATTTTTTAAATTTTAGGTCTAGTGTCATAAATCAATCTTGCATTCATTTATTATATAACTTATTCTTAACTTTTAAAAAGATCCAATCTGACTTTTTTACTATTAATAAAAATTAACTTTTATCATTAATTTAACCAAAAAAAAGATAAAAAAGGACCTAAAAATTATATAAAATAACAAAAAAAAATTAGTCCCTTCTTATAATATTTTTAATCTTTATCTGTAATTTTGAAGTCTTTTATTATAATTTTTTGGTTCCTTTGCATAATTTTTGATGTCCTTTTTTTTAATCACTTTTTGATCAATCAACAGTTAAAATTAATCATTATTAATGACTAAAACTAGATTACACTGTTCTTAAAAGTTTAAAAAATAATTTATACAATGAATAATTTTAAGACCTACGATGCTACTAAACTTGAATTTGAATAATTTGCTCGTTCACCCTGTTAAAACCCATAAACTGCTATTTGAATTGGAACACCAGAGTAGCTTCCGGCATTTTTATTTTTTCAACTGGAAATTCTGTAATCAAATCAAATTTAATATATGCAATTTATATAGATCAAAATACAAATTATCACTTCCTTTAGTAATTACTATATGCAATTTGTATAATATTCCCAATCTTACAAAGCAAACTTAGTTGAAAAAGATTTATTCTTTACCATCAGTATTTCAAAGGAGATTAATTCCTGCTTCTGCAAAAAGGCTCCATGCGTTTCATTTCATAATAAAAGAAAAAAGAATGATGCACTGAGCGTGCCATAAACTACAAGTAAAACCAAGTTTACAACATGAACTCTGAGAAAACTGCAGGAATCTCAAGCACACGGTAGAAATATTAAACACCAGACAGAGTGGCGCAGAAACACGGAAACAATATACAGAAACTGAAATAGTTCATTGACGGTTCGTCCAGAACGTTGACATAATTGGTATGACTAAAATACAGACCTCCAGTGGCGGCCGAAAGAAAATTAGTAAATTACAAACCTCCAACAACCCTCCAAAATTTTGATAGATCTACATAATGGCAGCTTTACATGAATGCAGTGAAAATGCGTTTCCGATAACTAAATGGCAGCTGTTACCCAAACACCAAAAGAAGAGAATAAAGTTAGTTCTCTGTAGACGTAGGCCTTTGCTTACCACAGTATGGAGGGAAAAATTGGGCTCGACTATGTTGCACTGTAGCTATCAAGGGAAAAACTGCTTCAAATATCCAATTGATCACGGTCTATCATACTTGCAGAGTTTTGTATCAGCTCCTTCCGAACATCCACCTAACACAAATTTGAGTTGCAAATTTAGAATACGACATATAACTACTAGTAATCTGATATATCAAGCGGTCCAAAATAAATTCTCTCCTCTACCAAGCACATCACTCGGTTCTTTCGTGTTTTTGCTTCGTGACCACTTAACCACTATCAGACGATGTTTTGCCATAATTTTAACTCCGTCAAAGTCGATATTTCGAAATTGAAAATATCCACTTAATCCCAACATAGGACACAAAATATCAGATCCTAGACAAATTATTAATCGCTTTTTTCAATGAAATCTTCTAAAGTTGCTTTGCTTGCTGTCGATTTTCTAAACTCAATGTCCATTCAGTCATATTCTTCCGTAGTTATCACCAAGAATCAAATATCTTCGTTAATACGAATCACCTCACAAAATATCACAGTAATAATGCAAATTACCCGAGCTCCCATAAGGGAAGAGAAGACAACATTTGCCTCGGCTGCATCCTCAACCACTAATTGCTTCAACACTCTGCGTTCTGGATCCATTGTTGTTTCCCATAATTGTGTAGGCATCATCTCCCCAAGTCCTGCATTCATAGACCTTAAAATGATATACTATTTATGAACGAGATGTTAAAATAATTTAATTCCCAGAAAACTCATTAAAAGGTAGAGAAACCGTGAGTCTTGTAATACAGCCTGACTCAAGCATAATAGTAATACAGCCTTTAGTCTGTTTTTGAACTAATATATTGATCACTGGAAGTGCACAAAAGGTGTACAAATGATAAAAATAATCATTACATAAACCATTGAAGGAAAGATATGCATTCTAAACCTAATAACCATTCGTAAAATTTCTACTTGGGAACAAAGGTCGATTGTAATTTAAAAGTATATATTTCTCCAAATGAAATAGTAGTAGAAAACAAAAAGCACGCATGCAACACAAAGTAAAATCATACCTTTGAACCTTTGCAAGTTGTATGCTGCATTAGGAGGGAATGAACTCCTAAGTTTTCTAAGGTCAGCATCATCATAGCAATAGTATACTTGCTTTCCCCTTTCAACCTGGTTAGTGCATTTAATATAACTGGAAGTTAGCAAGAAATTACTTCCCATCCAATACCCCCACCCACAAAAAAGAAGAAGAAGAAGAAGAAAAGTGTTCTCTTTCCCTGGGGGGTAAAATTAACATCAAAACTGAACCATAAGCAAACCTTGTAGAGCGGTGGAACACCAACATATATGCAACCTTCATCAAATAAAGCTCTCTACAAGTGGGGGAAAAATATACCGCATCAAATGGATCATATAATTTACATTTATTCTTTAAATGACTTGATCTGGTTTTCTTTGTAAAGTATTCTTTTGAAGAATTTTCCCATCCTTTACCTGATATCTGAAGAAAAATGTCAACAGCAGCGTCCGGATGTGAGCACCATCTACATCAGCATCAGTTAAAATGATAATCTTGTGATACCGGAGTGCATCCTTTTTAAAATCCTCTCCCTGATTCAGCCAATTGGTTTAACATTTTAATTGATACAGAGACTATTGCTAACAAGCAATAAAACTTCCAGCGACTCAGTAGTTTTTTGATTCAGTTGTTCTTAGTTAAGGTCACTCCCCTACCACATTCAGGATTGCACTTAATTTCCCTTTTGGACATGGCATTGCCTCCGAATATAGCGCTATGGTTTCTTGATTTCTTCCTTTTCTCCTTCTCCTCCTCTTCTCTCTTCTTCAAATATCTCTAAACCTTCAAATAATTGCTATTTATCTAGTTTCATACGAGTCTCTGTTGGGAATTTCTAATATCTTAAATACT